CGATCGGGCGTGGTTGTTGGCCACCGACCCCCTCGTGTATCGTGCCGGCCTTCATTGGTGCTCGCTAACAGCACTTGCCCAAACAGTCTGTAAAGGCCATACGGGGTATCTTTCCCTTTGGTTAACGTTATAGGTCGTGGTGTTAGTTGTTGGTGGTGATGGTTGTTGTTGTTGATGGAAGTAGTGGTTGTTAGTCGTGATTGTAAGTGCCTTGGGTTTAGCTGGTGGCTGGTGGTGATTATTGTTCGTTCTGGAATTGGGTTTGTTGTTGTCGTGGTGTTTTGTGCTAGTCGTGTGCTGGTGGTGGTAGTTTGTTGTCGGGGGTATTGTTGGTTGTTTTAGTGGTGTCTGTTGGTGTTGTGGTAGTAGCGGTGGTGTATTTCTGTTGATTGTTGGTGGCTTCGTTCGTGTGGTGGTGGTGGTTGTAAATGGTGGTTGCTGTTGGTTGTGGAGTTCTTTTTGAGGTAATTGTTGTTGGTTGTGTAGTTGTCGTTGAGGTGATTGTTGTTGGTTGTGGAGTTGTTGAGGTGATTGTTGGTTGTGGAGTTGTTGAGATGATTTGCTTGTCAGCTTCGATGTAGTCTCTGTTCACCAAGTTACCTGTACCTGACACGATAGCAATCATTGAAGACTTGGTCCAACAGGGACTGAATCCTGATGTACCAACTTTGGTGAGGTGCTGTCTTACCAACACTTACTTCATCTGGAATGGTACATTCTACAAACGAAATGAAGGCACCCTTATGGGTTCTCCCTTATCACCAGTGGTAGCGAATGTCTTCATGGAGAAATTTGAAACAGATGCCATCCTGACATCCACCCTACGTCCTTCCCTGTGGAAGAGATACGTAGATGACACTTTCGTCATCTGGCCACATGGCCAGTCAGCACTGAACCAGTTTTTCAACCACATCAATTCCATACACCCATTAAATTCACCATGGAAGTGGAAAATGATGGCAAGCTACCATTCCTGGATGTTTTGATCGAGAAGAGGCCTGATGGCTCTCTGGGACATTCCGTATACAGGAAAGCCACCCACACGGAATCCTATTGAAAGCCTGACTCCCACCACCATCCGGCCCAGAATAACTCCCTCATCAAAACCACACCATAAGGTCTGCTGCATCTCCGACCAGTGCCACCTTGCCAGTGAGCTGGAGCACGTACACCAAGCCCTCAAGATGAATGGATACTCAGACCGCACAATCCGCAAAGCTGTAGTCCCAACCACGGGGAGATAACCATCTGAGGACCCCATCAAAACCATCGCCTTGCTATCGCCTTGCCATCGCCTTGCCATACATAGCATGTGTTACCAAAAAGATTTCCAAAACCTTAAACAAACGCAAGATCCAGGTCCGATTCAATACAGTACACAAAATCCGTGATTTTATCCCATCTGTAAAGGATGTCATCCAGACATGGAATACCCTGGTCACCTGGTGTCTACAAGCTAAGTTGTGTCTGCGGCAGGAGTTACATTGGGGAAACGAAACGACATGTCTCGGACCGTGTTCGCGAACACAAGGCAGATTTAAAACACGGCAGAACCAATACCTCTGCAGTGGCTGATCATTGTTATAACGCTGTGGGCTCACACGATATTGTTTTTTTCCGAGACCAAGGTACTCTGCAAACCTTCGGGCTACCATCAAAGATTTGTTCATGAAGCCATCCAGATGTATAAACACAGACAATTTCAACCGACAAGATGGGTATAAGGGGCCGTCCATAAATTACGACACGCGATTTTGGACGAATTTTGACCCCCCCCCCTCGTTACACGGCGTCACAAAGTCAGACCCCCCTCAAATATGACGTCACAAAGCTCTGCCCCCCCCCCCCCCACAAAAATAAAACATGCTTCAAATCACTTTAAACTATTGTCATTTTAGTGTGTATTTCATGTGGCGCTGCACTCTGATGTTGTAGGATGTTTTTTTTTTTTATAAAAGTCTATTTAATTAAGCAGAACGTGTTGTCTATATTTATTTCAAGTTGCGCATTTTGATGTGACGTCACATTTCTGAACCCCCCCCCCCCTTCGTCACACATCGTCACCAATGTCTGACCCCCCCCCCCCAGGTGCGTGACGTCATTTATGGATGGCCCCTAAGCTGAGCAATAATTGGATGGACGTTATTAACCAAGCAAAGTCGTAACTTGCGTGGACGCTCTTGCCTCTCACAGCGCAGTTGGCAGCGCCGCAGCAGCTTGTGTTACACATAGACATGACATTAACTTGCTAATCCCCCTAATATCTCCCTGCCTAATCTCCCCCATCAACAGTGCTAATTACAGTTTAACGTACTACTTCAGCACCACCGGTGTGGTGGAGAGCAAAACCCACGCCGTTTACAGTTTAAGTTTTACGGCGTTTCGCTGGTTCGAGTCACCGGCGTGCTGAAGTTGTAACACATCGGAGTGTCGCTCAAACCAAGCCGTGGGAAAACGGCTTGATGCTTGCGAAACGTGGGGCACTTGAAAAGAAACGTCTGTTGCTGGTTTGAAAACATTCAGGCTGTCCTGCCAACGATCCATCCTGGGTTTAACCAGACTTGGATTGTGTGAGGAGCTCACAGATCATTGAACAATCTGGACACAGTGCCGGATTGTCCTCGTAGCAAAAGTAGCTACATATGTAGTAGTAGCTAAGGGCTCCGCACTTTCAAGGGCCCCGCGCTAAATGCTTTCGAGCTATCAATTCCGGTTCAGTGATTCTGCTCTATTACTATAGTACTAGACTGCCTTCAACTTTTATGAACTGGGTGTTTAAGTTTTGATTTAAAGCTTTCGTGACTGCAGGGATTCATATTATTGGTTCTTTCGGTAAAGTCACGTAGAAGGGAAACAATAAAATAATAAAAATATAAAACAAGAAAATTCTCACGACGTTTCGACTGCAACACAAGCAATCATCATCAGGTGTGAAAACCACAGCAAGAAAATTTTAAAAAAGTGGCGTTTTTTTTTACGTTAGCACCACGGATAGCGATTTGGCAGTTTGTTCAGATGGACGAGTCCATCTATGTTCGGAAAAGAGGAGGGGGGAGACGAAAATAACAGATGCGGTCTGAAAGCCACCGTAAGCGTGTTTCCCTTCTACGTGACTTTACCGAAAGAACCAAGAATATGGGTTTTTAAGGTTAGCGATTTGTCTATTATCTGGCTGTATAGCAATTGAAAAAATAAAATTACTCTCTGTAAAAAAAATGTATATCTATGTTTTTTTTTTAGGGCCCTTTTATAACACTCGCTTCATCCGGCAGTGCTACAGCCCATGGGCACCTTGGTATTTGACACATCACGCGGCTCGGGAGTGCACCTGGCCTGGCACAAGCCCTGTTGCTGTTGTCGGATAAAACCATGTTTTATTTTACCAGGTAAGGCCCACTGACTGAGCTATTTCGCTCATGTTTCAGAAGCGACATGGCCACAAATATGAGCTCAACGAAGTGGCTTATCACTATGGAAATTTACAGCAGGAGCCAAAAACGCTAAACGCGTGGCGATGTTGATTCTAAACGTGGAGGGGAAAACCCGGAGGACCCGGAGAAAAATCCGGGCTACCACGGCGAGAGACAGAGGGCCAATGCAGACTCCAAATATACAGCAGCAGCAGCTGCAGGCGTCAAGGTCGGGATCGAACCCACGACCTCCTGAATACCAGGCGAGGGAATCAACATCTCCTAGCAACCGCGGTGCCCTGATTCTGATTGTTGTTGGTGGTGGTGGTTGTTTTTGTTGTTGCTCGTGGAGAGTGGAAGAATCTGGCGACCCGGGTTCGATTCCCACTCACGGCTGACACCGGTGACGGTCATCTGAACCGGTCCTCGGGCTCGCCTAGGTCGACTCAGCCTCAAATCAGTACCTGGTGTGCAAACATCACCATGAGGGAGACAAAGGCGGCCGGGCGTGGTGTTTGGTGGTTGATGTCACTGGGTTCACAGCCCACACCACTCACCACCACCTCGCTCCCCACGTCTCACTCAATCAGGGCTGACGTCACGACTGTGTTTTGATGACGTCATGTTTTGGCGCGATTGCGTCACTGCGGCGGTGCCGCTTCGAGAGGAGTGACCATCAGAGGGTCGTGTTTCAATTATAAGAGGGGGCTGCATCCGCGATGACGTCATGATACTGTTTGGCTCTTTGCGATGACGTCAGGAAGCGGTTGGCTTTGTTGCGATGACGTCATGACAGTTGAGGACTCTGATGCGATGACGTCACGACAGTGGTTGGTTTTGTTGCGATGGCGTCTTGACAGTGGTTGGTTTTTATATTTTATTTTTTTCGGTAAAGTCACGTAGAAGTGGTTGACTCTGTTGCGATGACGTCACGACAGCGGTTGGCGCTGTGGTGATGACGTCACGACAGCGGTTTGCTCTTGTGATTACGTCACGAAAGCGGTTGGAATCTGTCACGATGACGTCACGACAGCGGTTGGCTCTGTTGTGAGGAAGTCACGACAGCGGTTTGGTCTCTGTCACGATGGCGTCACCACAGTTGTTGGCTCTGTTTCGATGACGTCACGCTAGCGTTTGTCATCTGCCACGATGACGTCACGACAATGGTTGGCTTCATTGCGATGACGTCACGACAGCGGTTGTCATCTGTCACGACAGCGGTTGGCTCTGCTGTGATGACGTCACGCAACTACCCCCCCCCCATGCGGACGAGTGACGTCGGCGAGGGTCGCGCGGAGACGGCCACGTGACTGCGCGCGGCTACGTCACGCGCGATGAGTCGCGGCGAGTGACGCGGCCGGCAGAGGGACAAGTTGAGAGGCGGCCGCCTCCACCACCACCAACCTCGTCCTCCTCCACCTCGTCCTCCACCACCTCGTCCTCCACCACCACCAACCTCGTCCTCCACCACCTCGTCCTCCTCCACCTCGTCCTCCTCCACCTCGTCCTCCTCCACCTCGTCCTCTTCCACCACCACCGTCTCCACCACCACCGTCTCCACCACCACCGTCTCCACCACCACCACCTCGTCCTCCACCTCATCCTGCTCCACCACCGTCTCCACTACCACCACCACCACCTCGTCCTCCACCTCCTCCTGCTCCACCACCACCACCACCTCCTCCTGCTGCTCCGTGTCGCCCGCTCTGGACGGGCTCTGAGCGTCTCTGGACGCGTCGCGGAAGCTGCGGCGGAGGCGGCGGCGCCGCCGGCAGCAGCGGCGGCATGGGGCTGGAGACGTGAGGGGAGACCCCGGCCAGAGACATGGGCTCCAGGATCAGGTACAGAGACTCCAGGTACAGGGTTCCAGGATCAGGTACAGAGACTCCAGGTACAGGGCTCCAGGATCAGGTACAGGGCTCCAGGATCAGGTACAGAGACTCCAGGTACAGGGCTCCAGGATCAGGTACAGAGACTCCAGGTACAGGGCTCCAGGATCAGGTACAGGGCTCCAGGATCAGGTACAGAGACTCCAGGTACAGGGCTCCAGGATCAGGTACAGAGACTCCAGGTACAGGGCTCCAGGATCAGGTACAGGGCTCCAGGATCAGGTACAGAGACTCCAGGTACAGGGTTCCAGGATCAGGTACAGAGACTCCAGGTACAGGGCTCCAGGTACAGGGCTCCAGGTACAGTGCTCCAGGTACAGGGCTCCAGATTCAGGTACAGAGACTACAGGGCTCCAGGATCAGGGCTCCAGGTACAGGGCTCCAGGATCAGGTACAGGGCTCCAGGTACAGGGCTCCAGGATCAGGTACAGGGCTCCAGGATCAGGTACAGAGACTCCAGGTACAGGGCTCCAGGTACAGGGCTCCAGGTACAGTGCTCCAGGTACAGGGCTCCAGATTCAGGTACAGAGACTACAGGGCTCCAGGATCAGGGCTCCAGGTACAGGGCTCCAGGATCAGGTACAGGGCTCCAGGTACAGGGCTCCAGGATCAGGTACAGGGCTCCAGGATCAGGTACAGGGCTCCAGGTACAGAGACTCCAGGTACAGGGCTCCAGGTACAGGTACAGGGCTCCAGGATCAGGTACAGGGCTCCAGGTACAGGGCTCCAGGTACAGGGCTCCAGGTACAGGGCTCCAGGTACAGGTACAGGGCTCCAGGATCAGGTACAGGGCTCCAGATTCAGGTACAGAGACTACAGGTACAGGGCTCCAGGTACAGGTACAGAGACTCCACCCTCAGGTACAGGGCTCCAGGTACAGGGCTCCAGGTACAGGTACAGGGCTCCAGGATCAGGTACAGGGCTCCAGATTCAGGTACAGAGACTCCAGGTACAGGGCTCCAGGTACAGGTACAGGGCTTCAGGTACAGGTACAGAGACTCCACCCTCAGGTACAGAGACTCCAGACTCAGGTACAGAGACTCCAGACTCAGGTACAGAGACTCCAGATTCAGGTACAGAGACTCAAGACTCAGGTACAGAGACTCCAGACTCAGGTACAGAGACTCCAGACTCAGGTACAGAGACTCCAGACTCAGGTACAGAGACTCCAGACTCAGGTACAGAGACTTAAGATTCAGGTATAGAGACTCCAGATTCAGGTACAGAGACTCCAGACTCAGGTACAGAGACTCCAGACTCAGGGACAGGAACTCCAGGCTCAGGGACAGGGACAGGTTGAGAGGGGCGTTGCCAACTGTGAATTGCTGGGTTGTGGTTGTGGGGCACGGTGCTTGTGACTTGCGGTTTTGGGAGATATTTTGATTAAGATCCCGTGCTGTCACTTGCGAGAGTAGGCCCGGCGTCATCGTCAACAGTGAACAAATACAATTTCAACGCCGCAAATTACTAAATAGAAATCTACGTCGCAATCACCCCCCCCCCCCTACTGGGAAGGCTTAGCAGGATCCTGGGTAGACAAGTTCTAAATATAATGAAAATAATATAGAAAAATAAAACTGTTCTTTTTGTGTGTGTGTGTACGTGTGTGTGATATAGTGGGAAAGGGCGGTCCTGCACAGATGCCATATTTTCTGTCCGTCTGCTACAGCAGAGGTGTAGGGAATTACAACAAGACCTACATCTCTGCCATATTGACCTGGTCAAGGCCTATGATACCATCAGTAGGCCTGGGCTCTGGGTTGTTCTTCGTGCTTTTGGAGTACCTGACCCTCTGCTCACGATCATTAAGGACCTTCATGATGGTGAGCGGGCCCGGGTAAAACTACGTGGCCGGGAGTCAGAGCCATTCCCTGTACACCTTGGGTTGCGACAGGGATGTCCTCTGGCTCCCACAGTATTTAACATCTATTTTGACCACGTAGTTCGTGAAGCCTTCAATAGCTGTACCAGGGGAATCTCCATATGGTACAGATATAATGGGAGGCTGATCGATGCCCGGGTGCGGTCAAGGGATGGCTCCCTATTGCTCAACCATGTTATGTATGCTGATGATTTGGTAATAGCTGCTCATTCAGAGGAGGAGTTGGAGACGCTGCTGCTGAGACTGTAGCGTGCCACTAAGAGGTGGGGCCTTACCATCAGCCTCACCAAAACTAAGCACCTGCCTGGGTATTTTTACCATCGGACACTCCACCCTCACAACTCCCAATCGGTGATGGGGCAGTTGTGGAGAGAGTGGAGAGTTTCCCATACCTGGGCAGTGTGCTTATGACCGGCTCCAGTTTAACAGCAGAGGTCTCACTCCGAATCAGTCGAGCGGCAATATCTTTTCATCGGTTGCGTAACGCTGTGTGGAAGCTACCTGGTCTGTCGCTCCGCACTAAGCTTCAGGTTTTCTCGGCCACGGTCATTCCCTCCCTTCTCTACGCTTGCGAAACGTGGACCCCCCTAATGGAACATCTTCGCCGGTTAGAAACATTTAGGCTGGCCTGCCTACGATCCATCCTGGGTTTAACCAGACTGGATTGTGTGAGGAGCTCACAAATCCTTGAAAGATCTGGGCAAGGTCCCATCGGTGAGCTCCTCCGGCGGGGAAGGCTGCGATGGCTGGGTCATGTAGCCCGCATGCCCAGCCACCGCATGCCGAAACAGCTTTTGTTCGGCCGGATTGAGGGGGCTAGGCGGGCGCGGCACGGGCTAGAGAAGAGATGGAGTGATGTGGTACAGGAGGACGTGGTGCTGAGTGGACTTGCCGATGACTGGTACCGGCGGTGTCAAGATCGGCCCCTGTGGAGGAGGCTCGTGAAGGACGCTACTGGGCAGTTGGAGGTAGTCGCCCTCCAACAACAACGGAGGGCGGAGGAGCGACGCTCACAACAACGAGCGGAGCGCCGGGTGGCTAAAGCACAGCAGGTTGGCACAGTAGGGGGCACAGGTGGTGCATCAGCCAGTCATCTCAGTCAGTCGACCCGTGGCACCTGGGTCTGCCCCATGACCTCCTGCCAGCGGGCGTTCGACACTTCATAGCCTGGCACAAGCGTCGTGGTGACGTCACCGCCACTTAGTGGTGAATGGCGGTTGTTGATATAGTGGGCAGCCGTAGTGTAGCGGTTAGCGCGCTGCGCTATGCAACCGGCAACCCGAGTTCGATTCCCGCTCACGGCCAACACCGGTGACGATTGTCTGAACCGGTCCCGGGCCTCCCCTAGGACGACTCAGCCTCAAATGAATACCTGGTGCGGTGTGTAAACATTGCCACTAGGGAGACAAAGGCGGTCGGACGTGGTGCTGGCCACCCACCCCCTCGTGTACCGTTCCGGCCTTCATAGGTGCTCGCTAACAGCACTTGCCCTGACAGTCTGTTACGGCTATATGGGGGATCTTTGTATCTTTGTTTGTGATATAGGTTACCATTGTTGATATTGACAGTGATGTTTGTGATCGTGCGATGTGGTCGTAGCGGTTGTGTGGATGTTTGCGATGGTCTGGGCACCTGGGTCTGTCCCGTCACCACCCTGTCAGCACGCGAACCTTCGACAACTTCACGTGGCCTCGAAGTGCACCTGGCCTGGCACAGGCACCGTGGTGACGTCACCGTTACTTAGTTGGCGAATGGCGTGGTATTGGTTGTGCGCAAGAGGTCAGGCTGTGCCGCCCCTGAAAATGATGACGATGACGATGCGGCGCTGCTGTTCCCAGCGCAGCTGATGCGTGGTTGCCGCTGGGCAGTGCTGCACGTGCCAGGTCCCCGTTGTTGCCTCGTTGAGGACCTCGGGCTGAAGGAGTCATCGAACATCTCATTCGGAGGTGGCTTTGGGGCTCGCATGCTCCTGCCGTCCTCCAGTGAGTGCATTTGGCTACGCACGGTGCGAAGGAAGTTCGGCATACGTGCATTCACGTCCACAGGGACTCGGAGCCAGCCCTGCTGAGATCGTGGGTTCACATCCTGGTTTCACACAGGTTGTCACGATCTAGCAATTCCATGGTCTCCATGGCATGACATTTATTGCTGCTTTTGATGTTCTTGGACACGTTTGATTTTTTTCTCCGGCTGTATCTTTCACGAACGTGATTGGTATCACCATCAACTATCGGCGACACGAAATAAACACAATAGCGGCAGTAACGTTGAGGATGTATGTTGAATTAATAATTGTTAAATATACTGGCGGAAATCAAACGTATACAAACACAGCAACGAATATCGTGTGATATTTAGCTTCAAGGTGTTCCATGCCTGTTAGATCAGAATGATCTCATCTATCACACATCTTCTCGCTATCCAATCAGAATTAAATTTACACCACAGTTTATGCAATACCCCCTTCCTTCCCCGTTTTAAATTCGGCACAAGCAAGCCGTGGTATATCGACAACATTCACATACAGCATATTTTTTGTATACACGTTTGATCATTGAACGTGTTTAATACCTCGTGATTTGATTTTATATAATGTCGATTCTTTGAGGAAACAGTAAATACGTTTGTTTACATATATTGTCTAAACAAATACGTATATACTGTATTCTTGGTTCTTTCGGTAAAGTCACGGAGATAGAAAATGAAACAGAGCAATTAAATAAATAAATAACCCGCCCACGACATTTTCAATTTCTTCAAATTTTATTTAAAATGTTTTACTTATTTTTTATTTTCTATCTACGTGATTTTACCGAAAGAACAAAGAATATGAATTCCTGCAGTCACGAAAGTTTTAAGTAAACATTTTTTATCCTGTATATATCAAATGAACATATCAACAACCATCATACCACAGGTTTCATCCTGGTTAAAACTATTCAGTGCCGCTGCTGCTGCGTTGGCGGTTGTGCGCACGCACAAAAATACAACGAGGAACTCGACGCACTCGTCAATAACACCGTGTGTGTATCCTTCAAAGGAAACATAATAGCCCACCGTAGGGCAATGGCCCTTGTTAATAGCA